CATCAGGTAATCACCGAATAAGCATATTCAAGTAATTGTAATCTCTAATATTGCCCTGCGCCTTCTCAATAATGGATCACAGACGTCATCGATGATGTCAAAATGTTGTACGAACGAAAAAATTGGCACAGGGGCGCAACCACATTTTGACCACTTTTCTTGTAGGCTAGAAAAGTGAAAAAGAGGCAACGATCATCAAAAAGATTATTGCAAATTACCAACATAAAAGATTGATAATTGTTTACTTACAAAATTTAAGCCAAATTAATTGAGGCCCGCCAAACTTGCTGTCAGGCCACATGTAAAGAAAACTTTTTGTTTCCCTCAATATAATTTCTGGTGATTTCATTTCCCCTGATTTTGCTTAAATCGCCGACGTTTTAGAGAATAAAAAAAAATTATATGTAGATATCATTTTTTTTTTATTAATAGAAACAATGCTAACAATTAATCAAATTTTTGAATTTCAAGTATTTTTCATTTTACAGATCGCAGGGTATTCTGGGTGCATTCGTTCAGAAAAATGGCGTCCTCGAGCATTCAAGAAGAAGGTAAGACGGCTGAATACTAAAATTTTTACTCGGTTTTGCGACAGGAGGGTACATCTGTAAGTCTGGATTACTTCAATAACGGCTTTTCACCCTGTAAAAATAAATCCAGAGGCTCTCAGATCTAAAAAACCTCTCGCTCATCGTGCCCGCCAAAATTCGCTTGATGCCGTTACAAGAAGAAACGAAGCGTTTCGTTTTAGATTTTTGTTTAAATCGGGTGCATCGAAATATCAGCTCTTGAGAAATACTTTAAACCGATCCATGAGATAATTAAGTTCATCATCGAAATAAAAGTTGGCCAAAACTGCGTTCGTTCGAGCCCACACTTCATCCATGCGGTCGAAACAGCGTTGTTTGTCGTTTTGGGAGGGTCAGCGGGATTTTGTGGAAGATACTACGATTTCCGCTGACCTTCCTCTGATTATTTCTTATTTTTGAGCTATTTCTTTCGAAGTAATTTTTTCTGGTGTTAGGCAGAAAGGTATGATGCTTTGGAGCCGGCCAATTCCAAGTTTGATCGCATGGTTTCCCTCAAAGCCAGTTCAAACAACAGCATATCGGTCGACGCCATATTTTACTTTTGTTTCGCACTCATTCGCAGTTTTCTGTGCTCAAGAAACCTCCGAAAAGTATCTCAAACGATAAACGGTTCGGGCTGTGTAGTAAATCTGTTTGTAGACTAAGTAATTATTGTTTGAAACTTTTCCTAAGGAAGAATGGCAGGTTTCGTAAGAACGGCCACACACGACATCAACATGCGGTTCGTGTTTCCCCTTGCCGTGTAAATTCGTAAAGTGTTCACAGCGCGGTGATCTGATATTAGCGTCACCGATGAACCATAAATTGCCTTTGTTCATTCTTATGAGTTGTATTTCTCGCCCAACTAAACAGAGCAGGAGGATATTTGCTTTGATTTTCGAACGGCGCCGTCAAATGTAAGCCTTATTGAATTGGACGAAAAGGAGTCAAAAGTACTGACGAAGGATTAAAGAAACGTATCTTGTGCGAAGTCAGTCTACATTAGCATTCGGGAAGTTTTCGACCGGTCGCCATTGCATTCAAAGTGTGTTGTGTACCTAAGAAAGCATAGGAGTAAAAACATTTCAAAATGTTCACAGGATAGGTTATGCAATGAATATTCTCACTCAGTGAATAATTGATTACCGACTGTTTCAATACCCCTATATTTTGAGGTCTGCAGAATTCTCACTTCACTAAAAACATTGTAATGTAGCGACTCAAAATTGTGGAAATCGAGATAGAATGAAGGCCCATATTTGAAATCACTGAATGTTGTGCTTTACTAGTTAAAATGAGATATTGTGACAACACTCACATGAGACATTCAATATGAAAAGTTTATTTAAGATAAGCCTGGTATATGCGTACAATCTGAACGTGTGTACAGGGAAACTAAAGGTACAACAGAAAGAACCTGTGCTATGCCAGATCTGAAAAACCACTAAAAACCACTCTTTAGATGTGGCCAAAGGATATGTGGCAACATTCCTCATCTAATGCAGCAGAGCAATACCCTGAGTAAAGGGTAAACTAACCTGGATTTAATTCTAATCGCAAACTAGAATCAATGATTGTAACAAAATTTTACAGGAAGTTTTAATTATGAAAATTATAAAAAGGCTGACTAACCTAGAATTATTTTATTTTCCTGTGAAACGCTTATTGAATGATCTGAACCTTCCAGGGTGCTATAGGAACCTCTCCATGTGCCACCAGAATGTTTAATTCTGACTATCCCTTCCTGTGTCTTTCAAACTTCAGAAATGGTTTTAATGATTACCTGCACCATAGAAGAAATGGTAGTAGGGTTTTCTTAGGATTTAAAGTAGGCCAATGTTGATAAAAATAAATTTAGTTTTAAAGTGGATTGATGTTGACAAAAAGTAGTCTTGAAGTAGCTACAATGTATAGGCTGATGTTGTGAACAATTGATTTTGAAGTGGGCTTATGTTAGTAAACAGGAGATGTTTAGTTGAGTTTGATGTTGGCACAACCCTACTTAGTTATCTTGGAAATTTTCTGACCATCAGTTTCTGCAGCTGTGAACTGTGTGTTCTTTCATCGAGGAAATTACTATTTCCTTATAAAGGATGCATTTTTACTATTAACACAAAGCCCTTGGCTTTTTACCAACCTACAAATTATCATTTTTATTGTCTGTTTAAAATCAGCAGCAACAGCAGTATTAACAGATGGAAATGCAGCAAACTCTAATATACAATCTCAAGATCAATCTTTTCTGTCTGCTGCTAAAACTACTTCTGCAGTTGACCAGCAGCAAGAACCACAAGAACAACACTGTACTGACACAGGTGGCCCAGTGAATACAGGAGACCATCAGGTATGTTAATCTTAGACATGGCTCCATGCTAACTTCCATATCAGTCACCATTTTGCAATGAAAGTGATACGAACAAAGCAAAATATTGATAGAGAACATAGATTTTTTATTTTATTGGAAATTATACAAGCTAAACTTTAACCCTTTTACTACCAAGATCTCATTAGTAATTCTCCTTACTATCTGTCAAATGATTCTCATTCTGTCAGTTTGAAGAATCTGGTATTGGATCAATTAGCAACCCCATAATTGATATTTTTCTTTATTCTCATCACTTGTCTGCATGATATTGTATTAATAATTATTGTAAGGAGAAATTCTCTCTCAGTCACTCACAGGAGTTAAAGGGTTAAAAAGAAATATATTACAGTAAAGAAATTGTCATTGAAGGCTTTGAGTTAAGGTTGAGATGGATTTCTCAAGTAGTTTGTGGTCAATCACAATTGTGACAGGCCCACTCCACTAAATTATTTATGAGTTCCGATTGCCTTTAAACTTAGTCTCAAACATTTTTTGAACCCAGGGTGAAAGTGAAGTCATTTCAGAGGCAGATGTGGCTTCCCAAGACATTACAACGTCTGCTAATGACACTGAAACACAGCAGCCCCAAACATTGTATGTGGCAATTCAGCCTGGAGCAAACATGGAGTCAGGACAGGGAGACCAACCTGCAGTATACCTGGAAGTAGTGGAGGCAGGGAGTGGTACAGAGGTTACCTCCAGTGAAGGACAGGTTAATCTAGTTCAAGAAGAGATGGTTATTGATAATGGTAATTTCAGTCTTTCTTTTTAACCCTTTCACTCCCAAGATCTAATTAATAATTCTCCTTACTATCTGCTATACAATTCTTATAATGTTAGTTCAGAGAATTTGGTATTGGATCAACTAATCCCATAATTGATATTCTTCTCTATTCTCATCACTTACCTGCTTGATATTGTATTGATATTGTAAGGAGAAATTCTGTCTTGATCACTTGTGGGAGTGAAAGGGGAAAAGTCAAATTCATGACCCCCAAGAGTGACTTGCATTTAATTTCTCATTAAAGTATCCGCCTTGAATCAAATATTAAGGTCGTGAGAATGAAGGAAACGATCGCCTACTACAGAACTTCTTGATTTATAGATGAATTCTCCCAGTCAGAATTTAGGAGATGTACAGAGAACAGTATGGAGAATATGCATACCAGTGTTAGGGTAAAGGCTTAAACCCCTTATAGTCCCCAGAAACAGAGAGGTCATTATAAAGTGGAAATGATTGCCAACTGGAGAAGTTGTGGACTGTTAAACAAAATTTAATTCTCCTTGTCAGCACTTTAGGAAATAATTATATAGAGAACATTATGGAGAATATGTGACCCTCCATGGGAAAACGAACACTAATGCTTTTCTGTTTAAACTGCGAAACCGTTTACTATGTGTTTAAATCCGTTTAAACAGTTCATGAAAGCGTTTAAATGGTTTGCTCATCCGTTTAAAAAAAATTGCATCTGTTTAACGCTTTAGCTAAAACGTTTAAGCGGTTTGCTTATTGGTTCAAAAAAATTTGCATCCGTTTAACACTTTTGGTAAAACGTTTAAGCAGTTTACTGATCCGTTTAAAAAAATTTGCATCCGTTTAATGCTGTAACAGAAACGTTTAAACGGTTTCTTAATCCGTTGTAAAAAAAATTGTTTCTGTTTGACGTTCCAAGGAAAACTTTCAACTGTTTGTTTATCATTCTGTTATGGACTGAGTTCCTATTATCCTTCACAGGTCAAAATATAATTTACTTGTTTATAATTCTTGAATTCTTTTAATGCTTTCCCTTGCAGCATCATCTACTGATGTTACCACTATACCTACATCAGTCCTGTCCCAGGTGATGGACCAAGCTACGTTATCCACCATGCAGGCTGAAATGATTGCAGTTCAGGTCCTTTCCCAATCTGCAACAGGCGACATTCAGTACCTGCAACATCAGTCTCCAGCACGGTTTATTCCAATTGTCACATCAACAGATTCAAGTACTTTGAACTCATTACAAGCCACACTCAGTCAAATGCCACTTGCAACCCTACAGGTTAGCATTTGAAAGTTCCAGTATATTTCTTGGCTGTTACTAACTTATTGATAATTTTTTTTAGTTGTTTCGTGATTCCTGATATTTTAGGCAATATAAAGTGTACTCTTTGAGTAGCTTTATCAGTTGATTTCTCCATGGATTTTCCACACCCCAGTGGTCATAGACTTCTGAGTTGAAAACCAGACTGAGAAACTAGGACCAGCATCCTGGTGTTCTACTCTTTACAACTGCATTTAATAGTTTGTGAGTTCCTAATGGTCTCCTACAAAACACATGACATTGAAGATGTGGTAGATGAAGCCCACAGGTTATCATCCCCATACAACAATAGACATGTTTCATTACAAAGACAGCAAATTCTACTCAGTGTCTTCAAGACCTTGAATGTCAGTCTGGTCTTGTATGCAACCTTGGACCTTGTAGTGTGGCAATCAGCAGGTGTTTCACGAGACACTTTTGTTTAGAGAGTTCACTTGCTAGATCATAGAATTTTCTGGTCATTTTTTGATGGCCTAATCTATTTTTATTCAGACATGGAGAATTCTTGCTGGTCACTCAACACTATTCTTGGTGAAAACCCTGACTTTACCAATCTAGGTAATCCTGTTGTGGTCTTTTCATTATTGCTTTGTCTTCCAGATAAGCCCCTCTCAACCAGGAGCAACAACCCAGACAATTCAATTACCAGGTGGCCAAACCATTCAAGTGCCCCTGAATGTTACCCAAATGTCAGCTCTGGCCTCATCACAGACAGATGCTGGAGGGGTATCCACAACTGGGGGCACCCTCACCACCAGCACAGAAGCTATCATCGCAGCTACCACAAGTGCAGAAGCAGCTGCTGCAGCTGTAGCTCAAGAGCAAGGGGCCACCCTTGTCACAGTTCATCCAGCTGTGATAGAGGCTCCTGCAGATGGCACTGAAGGTGGACATGATGGGGAAGAACATGACGGCGATGGTGAGTGGGAATTATTCCTACAAAATGTGTATAAGATACAGCTTATCCAACCAAGTTTGGATTGTTCTTCCATTACCCAGACAGAGTCACTGCTGATGTAGCTATTGACACTTTTAAACTATGCTTGTATTGCAAAGTGTGGAAAAGCATGCTTTTCTAAACACTATGTTAACCAAGACCCTTTAAATGTCTTATGATTAGCTTTTTAGACATACAAGTAAACATAATTATTATTTTGTTCTTTTAAAGTGTACAACCTGGCACATTAGGAGTTGAAACTTGCCTGCATGTACCTGGATATGGAATTCCCACATCCTGTGTGCTATGTGTTCCAGTGCATTAGAAAAATACCACAGTCTCAATACGACTTTAGACATTTTAAATTTTGCTGCAAAGCTTGTAATGATTTTATAATAATACAATTTTTTTTGCCTTTTATGAAGCTGATTGTAGGACATTGTACTGGTTGTATATTTTATACTAAAAAATGACTTACATGTCTTACATGTAATTATTGAATTAGATATTGCTTTGTGGTAACCATTTTTTAGATGATGGTAAACCCAAGTACACCTGTGAAATTTGCGGAAAATCTTATATTCGCTCCTGGTCATATTATGGACATATGAGAGAACATGCCTCTGGGGAGAAGCAGCACAAATGTGAAGTGTGTGGCAAGATATTTAATTATGCCAGCAATCTGCGACAGCACATGCTCATTCATACAGGTACTGAGTTTAAATTATTTAGTTGTCATTAGTTTCTACTGATGAATTAATGGGTATCATCAAATCAATATTACAATAAAACTGTTGGTAAAATGTACCTAAGTGCTCATAATGGCTTGTAACTCTAAAATCTAGGGGCAGCCTTTGTATGGTTTTCATACTAATATCATTATGCCACATGAAAATTAAAATTTTTTTTGGGTGAAATTTGCAGTGTACGTAGGATTGTTTTCACTTTTACATAGTGTTTTCACATTGTCTTCAGTTTACACATGAAAAACTTACACTTGCACTTTAGAGCCTCAATGGTCATTTGTGACTGAAGATAAAAAAACCTGACTTTTACACTCAGGCCCCCTATGGAGCACCCACGTAACTGATTATAAGTGATTATTACATGTATACAAGGTACGTTTATGTATGTATGTACTAAAGGTAACTTGTCTGTGTATTCATTACTGATGTACAATCTAGGAGAGAAGCCATATGAATGTGAGTATTGTGACAAGGCATTCAACAACCCCAGCTCTCTGCGATCCCATGTTCTGTCCCATTCTGAGGACAGACCTTACATCTGCGATCATGAGGCATGTGGTAAGGCCTTTAACAACCCAGGATCTTTGAGGTTAGTATTGTTTAATCCTTGTTACACATTTGGCACATATATGTAAGCTGTATGAGAGGTGAAAATTTGTTCTCCTCTTTGTTAACCTTAAAGCATGTGTACAGGTGTCTTTGACAGTGTTCTAGTACTCACATATACCAAGAAGAGGAACCTCCATAGTTAATTGTGTTGCCCATGAAAACAATAAAATGAGCTGGTTTGGTCTCCAACCCAGACTTCTTGACCCAGGGATTTCAAAACAAGCTGGTGACTGCATGAAATACATTGGTAACTCGATATCATATGTCGCCAGTTACTCTGGTTAAAATAATTACCTTTTGGTCTTGGATGAGCTTTTCATATTCACCTACTTTTGCCAAGTCTGAAACCTTATTTGAAACATTTTGAAACCCCTGTTGACCTGGTGTCCCATTGATCCTGAGTAGCACACCACCATACTGCCTCTTACAAGGGTTGCAATTAAAGCCAGTTATCTACCACCTCCTATAAAACTTCTTACTGCCTTCTTTAGGATGCCCCCAGAGTCCCTTGGAGAAGGTGGGGGCTTATGTCCCCCTTTTTGGGTGCAGCAGCCCATTAAACCATCAACAGCACTTATGGAAAAAAGTTATTGAAACCTCTACCACTATATGTGTGCCATACTTTTTGATTGGTAGGGTTCATCGCAGAGTGCATCAGGAAGAGAAGCCCCACAAGTGTGAAGTGGAAGGCTGTGATAAGGCGTTCAAGACACCAGCCGAGCTGTCCCGCCATGCATTCAGGCACACTGGCGAAAAGCCACACAAATGTGATCAGTGCGAAAAGGCTTTTATTCGTTATGATGATCTTAAACGACATTACCGCATTCACACAGGTAAGAAATACCATCTCTGTGTATGTCACTACATTCTGAAGAATAGCAATTGTCCAGTGGGGAACTAGTGAAGTTGCCTGTATATGTATGTCACCGAGTGTTCACAGCGGAAACAATTACTCAAAAGATCTGTCTAACAGACTATAAATAGGCAATCAAGTTAAGAAATCCGTATCAATCGCCACATAACTCTGGCCTTAGGCGAGAAGACCTTTCAGGCAACTTGACCGTAAACTGCTGATTTCACGTTTAGGTCTAGTTCAGTTTTCCGTAGCTTCTCACGGGGTCCATCGCCATAAAATTTGCGTTGATACTTTGTTTTTTTTCAGGTGAAAAACCTTTCAAGTGTGATCAGTGCGATTTTGCCTGCATCCAGTCATTTGACTTGGTGAAGCATAAGTTCACTCACAGCGGTGACAAACCATACAAGTGTGAGATGTGTCCGAAGCAGTTCACACGCCCCGCTCGGCTGCGAGACCACATGAGAACTCATACTGGAGAGAAACCTTACATATGCGATGTGTGTGGTAAAGGCTTTGCTATTCAAACAGGGCTCAAGTCTCATCAGGTAAACAACAGTCGATCACAATGCTGTGTACTGTCCACTGTGCCAAAAGAATACCCAATTTGCATACCATTTTTTTCCTACTGTAGGCAAATGGCGTTGATAAATCTTAAGCATGAAATACAGTGTCTTGAACTTCCTTTTTAACTTCGAAGCTAAGCCAAGTTCGTGGGTTGCGGCCTTGTTTCATTACCAGCCTGCAAATGATAGGAGATTCTGTCCCTGGACTGTAATTTTACCCTGGATATCTTAACATAAGCGGCATCCCTGTAATTTTATCTCTATTGATGTATCAACTGCAATTTTTCTATGTACAAATTTATCTTTTGCTTAGGTCACTTTCAGGGTAGAACTGTAATTTTACCTGGGAAATCTCAAACTCAGGCCACGTTCTTGGGTGTGGAATTGTTTTGATGAATCAATGAATTGCTATTATTGAATTTCAAGAGGTTTGAGATAATGTCTGGTCTCTTTATTTTCTTTTGAAGGCCGTGCACACCGGAGACAAACCGTTTAAATGCGATGAGTGCGACAAGACATTCCGCACCCAACTAGAGCTGCAGTCTCACATGGGAAGACACACTGGGGTGAAACCTTTCCAGTGTGACATCTGCCACAAGGAGTTCATCTCTACAATCACCTTTAAGCGTCATGCCATTGTGCATTCTGGTAAGGAGAAACACCGAGGAGCGTTAAGGCTATTCATTTACAAGATACAAGGCAACATTTCAACAGAGGATTGGAACATACGTCATCGACATGTTCTTCGCTTTCACCGTAGAGCAATTTTCATCATGAAAGTGGATCAATATCAGTATCTGGGCAACTGCCCACCTACCCCTCCCCTAACTCAACAACAGTCAATTGATAACATGTTAGGGCTAATGCTGGGTTAGGGGAGGGGTAGGTGGGTAGTTGCCCAGATACTGATATTGATCCATGAAAGTTTATGTATTTTTTTATTTCTTTTGTTTTGCTTCACATAGGTATTTTCAATTGAGGGTCGAAAAACTAAAACCAAAGTAATCGCAACTACCAGTCAGAACAATTATTATTATTAACATCATTATCAACCAATGAGAACTCAGCGTTGAAAAACGTTAAGAACCAGGTTGGGATTGGGCGTAGTTTTAAATTTGATTAGTTGAGATGGTAGCGCGAGTTTTCTAGACCAATCACAGAGCGTGGTAAAGCAAAACCAAAGAAATCCAGGGTTACCCTTGATACCAGCGCTATTTTCTCAGCCAATGAAATTCAAAAGTACTTTTTACCCGTGTTTTCCTACACATTTTCCTTCGCTCTGATAGGTCGTTGTGATTGCTATGATTTTAGTGAAAAAGTGGAAAAGCGCACGAACTTTGCTTGTTTGATTTTTTTCTCAGGGGAGAAGCCGTTCGAATGCACCGAGTGCGGCAGGCGTTTTGCACGCTCTACTGACCTCAAAGTGCACATGCCCGTGCACAGCGAGGACAAACCGTACAAATGTGGAGAATGCGAGAAGATGTTCACTCGGTTTAGCACGTTGAAGGAGCACATTCGAACACACACAGGTACTAGAAGGAAATTTTCTTTCAATTTTCGATGCTCCATAGCAAGAGACATTATTTAGGTTATTCGGTCGAACATCTCAAATCCGGTGGCCAGGAAAAACAGACACACATGTAGGGAAAAAGTGTCTGCTTCTATGAGGTTAGTAATTTCGGATCTTTACATGGCTGGATCAGGACTAAGTTCTTCGAAAGTTTTCTCTATTTTGTTTTCTTTGTGTTTTTGAACAACGTTTTGCCTATATTCAATCCTCTAAAATTGGCGGATCCAGGAGGGGGTAGTAATGGTTCTGGGGGTCCCTCTCATCAGACATTAATTTTAAAACTTGGTTGGCACCAACATCCATGCAATGACTGGACAGCAAGTAATCACTAAATATGAAGTCTTTAGAATTTACTTGTGTTGAACTATATCTTTTGCTTTTCAAAGCTGTAGTGTGACAAAAATTCTCTAATTACTGAATCAAAGTCGTCTGGATCCGCCTCCGTCTAACAACTTCGATTTATCTTCTTTTAGGTGAACGGCCTTTTAAATGCGACGAATGTGGTCGAGAGTTCAACCACAGGAGCCATTTTAACAATCATCTCCGGATTCACACGGGCGAGAAGCCTTTCAAGTGTGAAGTTTGCGACAAGGATTTCTCCCGCAAGGCTTCTCTCCGGTATCACATGAAGGTGCATAACAAGGGCGATGGACGAGTCAGAGTGCGGGGCAAAAAGGAAGATCAGTCTGACACAGAGGTCATCGATGAACAGTCACAAGGGACCACGACTGTGGAACAGGTACATTGACTTTAGTTCATTAAATCAATTCTCTATATTTTACGGTAAAGAGGAAATAAAACTGAAATGTTTCGTAGTCATTTCATAAAATGATAGACCACATTTTCTATTGGTTAATCAGTACAATATCCCTCTTGTGTTGCTGGGGGAACACGCGATAACCTTGTTTATCACTTACTCTCAACTCTTATTATTGCAGCCTTTCGCCTGGGTTATTAAACAGGTGAAATAATCGAAAGCGGGGGCTATTGTTTGATTAGCGTCAGTATCTGAGGAACTGCGCAAATAACCCTCCCCTAACCCAACATCAACCTTAGCTTATTGTCAGTTGGCTGTTGTTGGGTTATGGGAGGGGTAGGTGCGCAGGGGTCCAGACGCTGATATTGATTCCGTGTTCTTGCCATGTGTGTAATTTCTCGCGGTGCTTTTTAACGGGCAGTTTCATCTGTTGCCGGGCATCAGAACGAACAGGCAAACAAACCACTGATGTGTTAACTGAGCCAACAAAATATGAAACAATTCTTTATGTCTATCTGACTGGAACCATTCAAGAATGTTTTACAATCGGTCATGTGGACATACACTGTATCTTTGAGTTCTCATCGGCTCATGGAAGTTTTTGTGTATGTAACCACGCTTGTCTCGTTTTTTTAATCGTAACAGACCATGTCTACCGTAAACATCAGTCATCTGGGTACAGATGCTGACGTTCAGTTGGCTGAGGCATTGGTTGCCGTCAGTGAAGCAGTAGTTGCGGCGGCGGCTGAAGGAGACGACACTCCTCGGGTTGTAGCCGTTGAGGAGACGACACATAGCGAAGAGGATGCTGTTATGCAGCAGGTTTGTACTTAGGAAACAGACTTACCTTTTTGAATTCTGGTACCATTCAATGAATTCATTTCAAGTCAAAAATCCTCTATTGTTCATGCCTTAGTATTTTCAAGAACGAAACAGAAATGATTCTTTTGCTGCTGGTTTTTCTTTCTTTTTTTTATGCTGGTATCATACTTACACAAATGAGGTGTTGCTTCATTCTTCAGATAAGCAGAAAATATTTAAATTTGGATAAATGTCAGTATCTGAGAAACTGGCACCTTCCCCTTCCCTCCCCTCACCCAACAATAGTCAAATGAGAACGAGATAGGTTCAATTTTGGGTTAGGGGAGAGGTAGGTGCACCCTTGATCTATACTGACATGGATCTTGAGCTTTCAATGATTATCGTTTAAGGTGAGATGGAACATGGAAAAAAGTAAATAAATCAAAAAGTTATTTCTTTGCAGCACTTGCAAGACGGTCACGCTGTCCAAGCTTCCATGTTGGTGGATCCCGTCACACAAGCTGCCGTCAGCGCCGGCATCTCCGCCAGTGATGTGGGCCAATCCGTTGTCGAGACAGTAGTAACCACCATGCCTCAGGTTGTCGACATAGCTACCGCTGGGTCGGAGGTGTCGGTTGGTGAAGCTGTTGGCATTCCTACCGGACAAGTGCATATTATGGAGGTGGCCGACGGCACGGCAGTCACTACTGCTGACGTTCAAGCAGCCATCGGTGAAGCCATGCAGACAGCGCACGTGACTGTAGAGGGATCCGATACTCTGGGTATCACCGTGCCAGCAGAGATCCTAGCTGCCATGGCGGCTGCGCAGTCGCATCCTCATTTACTGATAGCTACCGCTGATCAGCAACTAATGCAGGCTCAAGTTGCTGCTGGAGCTGCTGACCAGCAAGCATTGCAAACGCAAGGCGGAGACGTGGTGAATCAAGCCTCTGGAGGTTCTACACAGTTGGGAGGCGACCTGCAGGCCAGCAGTCATGGTGCGCATCAGCAGCAGCAAATGGAAGAACCCATGCAAACAGAGTAATAAGGATTGCGTGAAAATGAAATTGGTGTACTTGTGTTGCAAGATGAAACGGTTCGTTTTCAGTACTTAAGTCTTTTTGTCATGCTGGGGCTGGCATGTTTTTCTGTATTCATTTTGTACAGACATTACAGAACTTCTTTGAAATATCCGTGTGCCATTAACTAATTTGGATCATTTTGTAAACATTATAATCAAAACTACGTTTTACGCTTCTTGCGTTGAGAAGTTGAGTAAATACATGTATTGTTACAATATATTTGACCCATTAAGTCCAATAATTGTATTTAATTTCTTAATTGCGATCTTTATATCTGCGTGTAAATGAGGTTGTAGCTTTTGTCGTTATTGTTAGTGATAAACTTTTATTTGTTTTGAAATTTGAGTTGAAATGGCGTTCAATCGTGTTGAGCAGTGATTTTACCATCCAAACAAATTTTGCCTTGAAAAGTGTTCAAGTCCATTTCTGATGCCATTGCTTTTGTCACCAAGCCAAATAAAGTACCTTTATGACGACAGTCTAGTCTCCGTCTTTGCTGGTTTTATTTTTTAAGTTCATCGTTGAACGCTGAATTTCCTTTCTCTCTGGCGAAGCTTTTGAAGAATGAAGACCTCGTTTACCGGTCATTTAGACCAAGGGAAAGACCTCCTCTTTCAGAGATTTGCGAACTGAACCCCGAGAACACTATAGTTCGCATACATACAGGCTACCGGTCATTTAACCTTACCTCATGAGTGACTAAGACAAAATTTCTCCTTATAATATTCATACAATATCAATGTAAATCTTTCAGTGATCGTTATTGCGGCTTCCTCTGGCGTTGGAGCGAACAGTAGATAAACTGAGCTTTGAACTGAGTCCAATTTCATAATCACTTTCTTTGATTGGACAAGAAAGATCATGGTTTCCTTCCTATTCTTAACTGGATGTACGTACGCTCAGCGGACCTATTGAAATTTCCCCACTCTCTTTCTGGTCAGCAGTACTACCCTTGGTGATACCTGCGCAGTGTGGCCTGATTTGCCGCCAATTTTAATAAGTGTGACTAAAATTGCGGGATTCTTTTCCTCGAGAGTTGGTAAATTTTATGAGTAATAAGAAAACGTTAACTACCAGATAGACAAGTATGTGGAACGACACAAGTAAGTGCTTTCCTTGTGGCCCACCGTAATAGCTTTCTTTGTCCATACTCCAGTTATTATCGCCTGATAATGCCTCGCATTCTAGTCGTCGTTTCTAGCTAGTCTGGCTAACTTAATTGAATTTCAATTTTAAATGAACAGGTTTCTCTCAAAATTTTGCTTTACATGCACAAGTTTGCTACTATATTCTACTACGTATCCTTCGTTGTTGGAATAACGTCTTTGACCACACCGTTAAGAAAAGCGAGCTGGTAAAACAGCTCCTCATTCGACTAGCTATGCAAGCGTTCAATTATGCATTCTAAAGTGTTTGAAAAACTGTGCAGAAATTTCTTTCAGTCTGTGTATATGCATAGCGACATGTAATTGTAGGAGATTGGGCCTTGCACAGTATCTCCTCAATGGTCAATCAGATTTTATGCATTTTATGGTGCAAGCGTGAGCTACACTGAATCGAACACTGTGTCATGTCTCCATGTCCTTTAGTGTCACAGCAGAGAACTGGGTTGTTGTTAGGAAGCTTAAATTGATCTCCATCCTTGTTTGAGAGGAATGTTTACGTCATATGTGGGATTACCTTCCAGACCTGACTTCATGTGAAGCAAGACCTCTCCACAAAATGTTTTTTTTCTCATCAAATGACTGCCATTTTTAGAAAAAGTTAAAAAAAAAAAAAAAAATGAGGAAAAAATTTAACACGCATTGTTGGAATTTTAGTGGTAAAGGAAGTTCTTATTCTAAATTAAAAAAATCTAAATTTTTAAAGAATGGAGATAAAGACTTTCTTCTGAATGAGAACTGCATAGATCTGATTTTCTCGGGTGCATTATATTTAGAGCATAAGGGTTAAGGAAACAATTTTAACAAAAGGGAAACAGTCATATCCAGACTTATCTGAAACTCATGCACTCTGGAATAATTCTTTCTTGTCTTTTCTTTTGATTGGGAACAATGTAGTATTCTGACAATATCACTAACAATCTGAGCAATATTACATTTTAAACCCCTTATGATTTACTCATGTGAGTTAGTCACACCAACCTTTTTTCTGTTTTGTTTCCTCTTAGATCAGTTTGGTGGTGGATATCAGGTATTTAAAGCTGTTTCTATGGTTAAAAATAATTTGATGAATGCAATAGCGTGTAAACATCTGAAACCTTTGATTTCTATAACCATTCAATAATCTGTATCACTTGTGCCTTTTACAGCCAAGTGTTCTCAAGAGATTAAAGATCTGAGAACTCTTTGCTCTCCTTGCAGAATTATCAGTTTGTCTCACTGACCAGCTCCTTGTTTCTTTTAGTCAATGGATACTGGTTTTGGAGGTGGAGGTTACATGCAAGATGCTGGGGGATTTGGTTCCCCAATGACAGACTCCCAGGAAAAGAAGGTGAGTCATTTGAAATATTTGCTGGATGATTTAACAAGTTTGTCAAAACTCTTAAAACAGATATGTGTCAAATGTGTTTTGTTTTTATAATTGCTTGTTTTTCAGCGCTCCCCAATGAGAGCTCAGTCCATCCTTCCATGCTCCATCAAGCAGCTTCACAGTGCAACATATAACCAAACAGAAGATGCCTTCAAACTAGGGAATATTGAGTTGAACCAGGTGTGTACTATTAAGAGTCCTTGTCTGTGTAGCAGATACATGCTGTAAACAAACTGCTTTATATGCCGTATGTGTTTGTTCATTTTCTTGTTGCACATGTCTGTGATGTAATTCAATAACAGTTCATGTAACAATAGTGATTATGGATGTTAAACACTTAACTCCCAGAGGTGATTAAAATGTAACTTCTTCCTAAATTATCCATACATTATCCAGTAAACGGGTAATGAGAATACTCAAAGTTATCAGGTAGAAGTTATTATCTTAATCTATCAGCAAATTCGCATAACTAATTTCAAGGAAATGTGTAGCAGCTCAGTAGAGGGGAGAGTTAACAATCAGATCATGGGAGGTAAAGGGTTAACACCCAGTGAACAGGGATTCTTGGATATTTTCTTGTAACAAGAGCAAACCCCTTTGCATGCTCCAGCCTTTGGCATTAAGTGATTAAAGTAAGTATTTTTATTTTCAGTTATATTTACAACTGCAACCTGTACTTTCCCTCTACGTTGTATACACTTACAGGTTTCAGTGGTTGGTGTCATTCGGGATGCACAAGAGTCAGCAACTAATATTATGTACACAATTAATGATATGACTGGGGAGGACATCATTGTGAGAAAATGGCTTGAAAATGAGGTTTGATTTTTACTTCATCATGTAATATTGTGGTTGGCTTGATCAATTCATCAAGCAGTGAATCAGTTGATCTTCAGTCAATTGACCTATAAAGTAATCAACCAATTTACAGTTAAGTTTGTGGATGTAGTGTTTATTTGTGCTTTTAAAATTTTACATTTCACAATTTATTTCTGATTATTCATCAGAATGAAATTTTGATTTTGTATTTTTGATTAGTTTATGAAACTGCTTTTGATAGATTTGTTGAATCAGAAATGTTGTTGCCAGTTGCATGTACCTTCTTCAAAAACTCTCCTGTTTTGTGTTCTTGATACTAGGTAAATCACTATATTTAAAAATCAATAATGTGATATTTTATCAATAAATAATGTATTCAAACAATCAAGCATAAATTTTTGTCATCTTGTGCTCCAGCTGCAAATTATTTAGTGAATCAGTGAAGTTTAATTTTACTTCCCTTAGCAAATGTTCTT